CCGTCGCCACACGTTACCTCAGGCTTGGGCGAAGAGATCCGCGTGACGGACGAAGTGACGCCAGCCGTCGCCGTCCGCCACTGACGGTAGAGTCCTCGTCGCCGACGGTAGAGCGACGGAAAAACCACCAAGCGACGGCAGGGAGAAGCACCGCCAAGCGCCGTGAGTCCCGCCCAAAGGACCGTCGCCATGCGGCATTCCTCTCCATTCGTCGCCGTCGCCATACGTCGCCGTGTGTCGTGCGCGTCAGATTCTGCAGAAAAGCAAAGCAACGCGTTACGATGTAGGCAAATAAAAATAAAAACGTGTTGAGAACGGATTGCCAAACGGACATTACCTCAGCTCGAGGGAGGCCGTCGCCGTCCCCTCGCGACGTGAGGCACCTCGCTTCCAACAGTTGTCTTCGTCGCCGTCGGTGTGTGCGTTCACGCGACCAAGACGGTCGCCAAGACGGTCGCCGAGGTCTGCAGGGACAAGGTAGCACATTAGTACTTCACTCACGGGTAAGCTTATAAAGAGAAAAGCAGCACACGGGTAAACTTCACTCACCCCGACTTGAACGACGATTTGCGAAATCGTGACGAGGTGGAGGTCGAGGCGCCATCGCCCGCGATTGAAGCAACTCTTCTGGTTCCCCGCGGTTGATAGCATCGGAACCTTATAAAGCTTCAGATCCAAGTCCTCACGTCGGCCGTCTTCGGTCTGCAGGGAAAAGGCAGGAGGTAAGTACCAGAAAAGGTAAAGAACATAACAGAACTTCAAGTTAAACCGTAGACTTTCACTCACCCGTTGGCGCAAATCTCGTCGTCGTCGGTGCCTCTCGCAACGTCTCAGGTCGCAAGGACGGTCTGCAGGAAGAACAGAAAAGCTTAACTTTGAGTTAAGGAAACGTATAGCTGAATTTCTTCAACTGCGAAGTCGAAGGAAAGAGATATTTCACTTACAACGGCGACAAGGATCAGTTGCACCCGCGAGGCTTCGCGATCTGCATCCAGGCCAGCGGCGATCATCACTTGGGCTTGAGTGCGTCCACTCGTCAGTCTTCGTGTTGGAAGACTTCGCCGCGAAGATATCGCCGGTCCGGAGCTTGAAGCATTTCGCGATTGAGGTGCAACCCGCGTTTGAAGGGCCTTTACGACTTGAAGCAAAGGTCGCCACGAGACCTGCGGGAAGAAAGCAACAGGTTACTACCTGAACAATGTTAAAAAGCTTAAGAACTTAACTGGCCAAAAACCGTTACAAGAAGAAGTCGAAAAATGCTGCACTTACCTCAGGTCTTAACGACGCTTCAGGTCTTAACGACGGCGCTTCAGCGCTTCAGTCGAAAAACGCTGCACTTAGTGTCGGCGCTTCAGGTCTTAACGACGGCGCTTAACGACTTGGGCGTTCAAGGCCGCGTTGCTGCGTCGGCGATCGTTGCTGCGTCGTCGCTTTCGAGTGGCCTGAAAAAGAAGAGGCAACAGATTAGTACTTTAGACAGAGCACCAAAGTTACTGAAAGGTGAGTGAGAACGGGAAACTTAATTAGAAGTTAAACTGTCAATGGTTCACGTACCCCGATTTGGCCGACCTGTCCGCCGTTGGCGACGGCAATTTGAACGCGATGATCGGCGGGCTTCAGGCTGGGCCATTCGGCGTCCAGCTTGACTTGGGTTCAAACTTCAAACTTCAGGTCCCGTTTGTAGAAGCTTGAGCTTGACGTCTGCAGGAAAGCAAGGAACGCGTTAGAAGATTTCTCAGAAGCACGTCAAACGGCGGAAAACGAACGATTCAGAACGTAACAAAACAATGACGAAGTTGAAGAGAAATTACCGTCTCCGTGTAGGAAGGTCGGAGGAAGGTCGCACCTGGAATCCGTTGAAGAAATTTGAAGCTGGAGCTCTTTCCGAGACGAGCTTGGAGCGAAGACGCGACTCGCGTCCGGAGCTCGGGCCAACGGCGATGGTGACAATCCGAAGCTCACTTGGGCTTGAGGTTGGGCTCATCACTTGGGCTTCAGGTTGGGCTTGAGTGAGCTCGAAGCGCCAGCGACGGTAGATGCTCTCATCCGGTTTTGAGTTTCGACCAGAAACAGATGAGGAGGTCGTCTGCAGAAAAACGAAGAGCGAGTTAAAATGTGAAAAGGATTTAAAAAGAAGTCGAACTAATTCTAGCGGATCTGGAAAACAAAAAAAATAGTCCTTACCTCCACTTGACAGTCTTCGTGTTGGAAGACTTCGCAGGTGGAGCTTGAAGATATCGGCTTTTCACACCAAAGATATCGCCGGTCCGGAGCTTGAAGCATCCCGCCATTGAAGTGCAACCCGTGTTGATGACGGGGAAGAGACCGCAGCGACTTCCCTTGGAGGCAGCGACGGGGGTGGCCGCGAAGCTCTCTTCGCCGTATTGTAGATCTTAACGGCGACACTTCATGTCTCGCCAAGACGGTCGCCACGAGGTCTGCGGGAAGAAAGTAACATGTTAGTAACTGAACAAAGTTTAAAAGCTCAAGAACTTAACTGACAAGAATCGGTTACAGGAAGAAGTCCAAAAACGCTGCACTTACCTCACTCAATTGGTGGAGACCGCCGGGGAGCGACAGGGAAGGCCGACATGGTCTTTGCGGTTGGTGAGACTTGTCTCCCCGCAGCAGCGACGGGGGAAGGTCGACAACAGCATCTTGAAGCTGAAGCATTTGAAGCTGAAGCTCTAGCCGAGACGAGCTTGGAGCGGAGACCCCGATGCGATTTTTTCGCCGTGGAAATCCTTGGCGTGAAGATATCGCAGAGATGATCCTGGCAGCGTCGGCGCTCTGATTTGTCGAGAAGATCGCGCCGTAAAAGTCTCGCCGTGGAAGCTTCGTGGCGAGAAGATCTCTAAGAAAAGACTCGCGAAGACTCGCCATGTAAATCTTGCGGAAGAAATCATAGATTATTCGCGGTGTAAAGGTTGCCGCGAAAGGTTTTCATACACGGTTCGGCCCAAGGCACTTGGCAGCTCTCTCCTCACAGGACTCTACCCACCCACCCCACACCCGACCTCTATTCTAACTCAACGCCGCTTCATGCCATGGGCTTCTCCGTGTACTAGTAACCGTGGCTTCAGGTAGCATAAGTTTGCTCCGTGGAGCTTCTAGCCTGAAGTCTAAGCTCATTAGGTTGGAGCTTTCAAAGTATTCTTACATGAGTTCGAGAAGAAAATGGACGACCAAAGACATAACATCGATGGTTATGCTCAGAATGGTTGCAAAAGGTTGTTGCTGAAACACAAGAAAGTGCTGCTGATGAATGGATGAATGAACCTCAGCAATTCAGCCGCCGCTGCGCTCGTAGCGCGGCTTCAAACCAAATGTGATGGGTCAACAATGTATTTGAGTAATAGAAAGTTACGGTATATACCTCGGTGCAGTACGGTCGGACGGGGTGCCACGCACTTGCTCTGCCAGAGTGGGAGGGAATTACTGACACCACGCTGGGTGCGCGGTGCGAAAGTAAACAGAGTGTGTTGTGAAGGGGTGGATGGTGGTGGTGTAACCACCCTCAACGGTGACGATTACATCTGGTTGTGGCATGGGATGGAGGCGTGGTGGTGGCTATTGTCATTGGCCAATGAAATGCCCCGCCGACTAAGCGGCAGAGGACATTTCCCGAGAGCGCGTGGTGAACATGTTGTGGCGGCTCAAACTGTTTCCCCGCCTCATCCATCCAGCCCAATCCATGTTGTACATTCATCGAACTGTACACAGATAGGTTAAATTTGAATATTGGTTGTAATGCAATTGTCAGTATGCAAACGAATTCGCTAAGGGCGCGTATTTCTGCTGGCGGGGTTTGTTGGGTGTGCTGGTCTGCAAGGGCAGGCTCGAACTTTCTAGGAGGTGGTTGACGTGGCGCTAATTTTAGTTGGGTCAGCATGAGTGAGTTTTTGTTTAGTTTCGGCGTGAGTTGCGGGACGGCTTTGGTTTGGTTGGGGGAATTCGTCCGTGGCGCTGTGACTCGCTTTCATCTCACTCGGGCAGCTGGGAAAACAATGGGTGGATGAGAAGAGATTTGCGCAAACGAATGAGAATGATTTGTGGTTTTGACACCCTGGCACAACCACCACGGCAATTTCGACATCCCGAAGTTCGATTTTCCGAACCTGCTTCTCAGCTGTCAGATCTCAGCGCGGTAGCAGATATAAGTACAATTCTTCGACGACGCAGCAAGTGCCGCTCATTCCTCAGTCGTACGTACGGTTAGTTGCTTCACGCTTCTATTGTCCTAGCAGTATTAGATATGATCAAATATAGCAGTCTCGGTAAGACCATTTTCAACTTGCGAGCTCCAGATCTGACTTACATTTACTTGCGTAATGCGCAAAATCATAACGTTTATCGGCGGACGAATTACTATCGTCGATTTCGTACTCATCAGTAACGTAGTGCGTTTCGTCGATTAGACAGCCCGTTTCGTCCTGACGCAACACGCGGTAAGGGAGGTGAGTGGAAGTGACGGTAATTTCCCCTCCCCCCTCCCCTTTCCGCTTTCCCCCTCATAACTTCGGAGTGTCGACGGTATCGTGGACTCGAGACGCGGAAAAGGAGGAGGGGAGGTGAGTGGAGGTGAGTGGAGGTGAGAAGAGGGGGAAGTGGATGGAGAGGACTGGCGGAAGGGCGAAGCGGCCATTCCCCTTATTTTCCCCTTCCCCCTCCCCTTGCCGCCGTCAGCCTTATCTGATTGGACTTGAGATTGCGTCGATGGTAGCCTAAACGGAAGACGGGAAACACGGAGGGCGGGAGGTGAGTGGAGGTGAGAAGGGGGAGGACGATGAGGGGAAGATGGACGAGCTTGCACTCGAGTGGAAGGGAGAACAGAGGGGATGGACGGGTGAAAGCCGACATTTGAAGACGGAAAGGATCGGCGATGGGTGAAACCCTTCGCCGGAGAAGCAACCCCCTTCCCCCTTGATTCCTCTCTCCCCCTCCCCCTTTTGACCCCCCCTCCCCCTTCCCCCGCTTCCCCTTCTCTACACTTTCAACCTATGACGTAGCCTACACTTTCACCCTATGACCTAGCCTGGAAACGTCATTCATCTCTCCGCTTCCCAGCCCTCCCTTTTCTCCCTTGGCAGGCCTAGAAACGTCACGCATATCTCAGCTTCCCCCAACTCGCTCATCCTTCCCGCTCTCCCCTCATCCTCCCCACTCTCCCCTCATCTTCCTTGCTTTCCCCTCATGCCCCCGTTCTTCCCTCTTGTCCCCGCGCTCCCCTCATCTTCCCCGCTCTCCTCTCATCTTCCCCGCTCTCCTCTCATCTTCCCCGCTCTCCTCTCATCTTCCCCGCTCTCCCCTCATCCTCCCCGCTCTCCTCTCATCTTCCCCGCGCTCTCGTCATTCCCCCCTCTCTCCCTTCATCCAACCAGGCCCCCCTTCATATTACTGCTGCGCTCTGTTGTTTTCTTCCTTCACGCCCACCCTCATCTCCCCTTGTCTCACTCTGCTCCCCCTCTCTCCCCATCCTCCCCTGTTCCCCGCTTTCAGACTCACCCCTCATCCCCTTCCCCCTCCCATACCTCAACTTCCCCCCTGGTGATGCCTCGTCTCCCCCCACCCATCCCCCTCCCCCCTCTCCCCATCCACCCTTCAACTCCCTCCCCTCCCCTACCCCCGCTCCCTCATTTCCCTCGTCTCTCACACCCCCCTCCACTCTTCCACAACCCAGCCACTCAAGTGGGTGAATTCTGTTGTTTGTGCGCCATTCTCAGGTCTGCCTTTACCGCACCATTTTCTGGGAGTGGCTGCTTTGCTTGTGTGTGCCGCAGGTCATTTGACTTTGCAGCTGCCTGCTCTGGCACGGCACGTGGCAGCATGTGGCGTGACTGGTTGACTTGGCAGCTACAGAAACGACTCTCTGGGTTCCTGGGCTGATGTGTGCCTGCATTTAAAGCCCGAGGTCAGCATGGTAAATTATCAAGTTATGTGGGTTTGAAATAGTGTTGGCGAAATTGTGAAAACATTCATTTCGGCAAAGTCAGTGTAGCGAGAAAGAGAGCGATTCACGAGGGGGGAAGGGGTCTCGCCAAACATGAAGCGATGGTGACGATACTGTGCAGCTTTGACAAATTTGCAGAACAGTGTGGGGCGACTGGAACGAGTGTCGCAAGATTGTTCTTCGGCCAATCATGTTCTAGTAGGGGAGAATGTCCTCGCACAATGCAACCACCAGCAAAAACGGAAACGGAAAGCACCAACAACCTCAGAATGAGTGAGGAGAAGAAAACACCACGATCAATCTAGCTAAGTACTTCACGTGTGAAATAACCGCAGTAGCTACCAACAACAGAACGTTCAAACGTAGGTGACGTGCCAGAACATGTACATGCGGGGTCGCAGGAAGGAGCGTAGAGAAGAGCGCGACACAGCGCGATATGGGAGTACTGCGGCGACTCGACACGGGGACTGCGGAAGGCGGAGAGGGAGGGGAGAGGCGGAAGAAAGACTGATCGCGCGATAGGAGAGCTGTCCGCTGGCGAAACTTGCGCCAGACGCAACGCCAGACGGCGGAGGAGAGGAGGAACAGATACTAGGGGTGGAAGGGGGAAAGCGGGGGAAAGTAAATCGGGGCTTGGCGCGCGACAGGAGAGATGCTCCGTGGTTGACGCCAACTGCGGCAGGCGCATTGGCTCGCTGCCCACTCCTCTTCGCGCTGAGGCGTGCCCTGCTCACGGACAGAGCGGAATAAGGCGCGGGGATAACGCGCGGAAGGGGATGAGGCGCGGAAGGGGATGAGGCGCGGAAAGGGGATGAGGCGCGGAAAGGGGATGAGGCGCGGAAAGGGGATGAGGCGCGGATTCCCCTGATTCCCCTCCTTTCCCCCCCTGATTCCCCTCCTTTCCCCCCTTCCTTCACCTCCTTACCCCCCTTGCTTCCCCTCCTTTCCCACCCTGCTTCCCCTCCTTTCCCACCCTGCTTCCCCTCCCTTCCCCCCTTGCGTCCCCTCCTTTCCCCCCTTGCTTCCCCTCCTTTCCACCCCTTCTTTCCCCTCCTTTCCCCCCCTGATTCCCCTCCTTTTCCCCCTTCCTTCGCCTCCTTTCCCCCTTGCTTCCCCTCCTTTCCCCCTCTGCTTCCTCTCCTTTTCCCCCCTTGCTTCCCCTCCTTTCCACCCCTGCTTCCCCTCCTTTTCCCCCCTGATTCCCCTCCTTTCCCCCCTTCCTTCACCTCCTTACCCCCATTGCTTCCCCTCCTTTTCCCCATTGCTTCCCCTCCTTTCTGCCCCTGCTTCCCCTCCTTTCCCACCCTGCTTCCCCTCCCTTCCCCCGTTGCGTCCCCTCCTTTCCCACCGTGCTTCCCCTCCCTTCCCCCCTTGCGTCCCCTCCTTTCCCCCCTTGCTTCCCCTCCTTTCCACCCCTTCTTCCCCTCCTTTCCCCCCCTGATTCCCCTCCTTTTCCCCCTTCCTTCGCCTCCTTTCCGCCTTGCTTCCCCTCCTTTCCCCCTCTGCTTCCTCTCCTTTCCCCCCTTGCTTCCCCTCCTTTCCCCCTCTGCTTCCTCTCCTTTCCCCCCCTGCTTCCCCCCCTTTCTCCCCTTGCTTCCCCTCCTTTCCACCCCTGCTTCCCCTCCTTTCCCCCCCTGATTCCCCTCCTTTCCCCCCTTCCTTCACCTCCTTACCCCCCTTGCTTCCCCTCCTTTCCCCCATTGCTTCCCCTCCTTTCCGCCCCTGCTTCCCCTCCTTTCCCTCCCTTCTAGCCCCTTGTTCCCTCCCTCTTCCAATCTCCTCACTTGCTCCCTTCCTCTCTTCCGCACTTCCCCCCTTCCTCTCTGTCCTGCCTTTCCTCCCTTGCCTCCCCTCATTTACTTTACCCCCTTTCTTCCCCTCATTCTCCCCCCTGCTTCCCCTCATTTCACCCCCTGCTTCCCCTCATTATGGTCCCCCCTTGCTTACTCTTCCTCGTGCTCGCCATCCTCCCCCCTGCTCACCCCTCCTTCCCCTCCAGTTTACCCTCTGTTTCTCCTCCCCTTTCTGGTTCTTGAGTGGTGCTCTTTGCAGCTTGGTCAACCAAATAAGTAGAGGGGGGCTCCCGCTTGTTTGTGGCATTATTGTATCGATCAAACGATCCGATATCAAATTACATCAGTTTATTGCAAATTTTGATGACGTAGATAACACCTGGACCTTGCAATAGCTTCTTTTCCATCTCTGGATAAAGCACTGTTACATGATGCAACTAGGCACAACATTGAGGGGTGCAGAACATATGTTCCACACATTTCAAGAGCAATGCGAGGGTTGTCCACTGCTCTAGCTGTTTAGTGTTCGCTCAACATTTTCTTGTGCCTGCTGCTGCTCCCTCTACACTGCCAAACTCCACTGAGCCCGAACTAGACCTGCTTGAAGTGGAAACAAAGGGACGAGAGATGGGAAGACAAGGACGAAAGGTGTGAAGGCAGGAAAGGAAGGCGAGGCAAGCGAGGCATGCAGGGGTGAAGACCAGGAAAGGAAGAAGGGGAACGATGAGAAACGGAGGGGAATGTAGTGGGCACTCACCTCGTGATGGGAGACTAGGTTTTATTCGGGAGACGGAAATTGGGAAAGGCAGGAAGTGTCCCTCCCCATCCGTCCCTCCCCATCCGTCCCTCCCCATCCGTCCCTCCCCATCCGTCCCTCCCCATCCGTCCCTCCCCATCCGTCCCTCCCCATCCGTCCCTCCCCATCCGTCCCTCCCCATCCGTCCCTCCCCATCCGTCCCTCCCCATCCGTCCCTCCCCATCCGTCCCTCCCCATCCGTCCCTCCCCATCCGTCCCTCCCCATCCGTCCCTCCCCATCCGTCCCTCCCCATCCGTCCCTCCCCATCCGTCCATCCCCCTCTGTCCCTCGTCCCCTCTGTCATTACCCCCCTCTGTCCGCCCCTCTCCTTCCCCTCTATCCTCTCCCCCCCCCCTGTCCCTCACCCTGGGGATATGGCGGCGCCTGATGTGGCACCGCCTGCTGCAGCGGTGGTGGCGGAGGTGGGTGGGCAGCCCCAGTGCGCGTGCAGGCAGAGATGTGAGACGAACCAGCCACGGCGTGGCGATGGCGTCATGGGCGCAACGTCTGCGACACGGACAGGGAGCAGACACGGCATGTGCAGCTCATGCCTGCCATTCCCTGAGAGTGGAGCGAAGGGGGGAACGGGCGAGGGTGGGGTGGTGACAGATGGGAGAGGGGGAAGGTGAGGGGAGAGGGGGAAGATGAGGGGAGAGGGGGAAGATGAGGGGAGGAGAGGTGAGCGTGGGGGGGGGGGGGAGGAGAGTTACATGGGGGGGGAGGAGAGGAGAGGTACATGGGAGGGACAGGAGAGATGATGAGATCGAGGGAGAGGAGGGGCATATGAGGAAAGCCAATGCTCACCTGGTGTGTGGCGCTCACCTCTCTGAGGGAGGGGGCAAGCAGGGCGGAGGGTGGGGGGAAGCATGGAGGAGGGAGGGGGGAAGCAGGGAGGAGGGAGGGGAAAAGCAGGGAGGAGGGAGGGGGGAAGCAAGGAGGAGGGAGGGGGGAAGCAGAGAAGAGGGAGGGGGGAAGCAGGGAAGAGGGAGGGGGGAAGCAGGGAAGAGGGAGGGGGGAAGCAGGGAAGAGGGAGGGGGGAAGCAGGGAAGAGGGAGGGGGGAAGCATGGAGAAGGGACCAGGGAAGCAGGTGAGGCAAAGGAGATTAGATTGGGGGGTAGACAGAGCTGGTGGGAGAAAGGGAGGTTGGGCAAAATAAAGAGGGGTGGAAAAAAAGAGGGTTGGGAGATTCGGGTAAGCGTTTCAGCAGCGGGAAAGAGCGCGAGACGCGGGCAAGCGGTGAAGATGCGGGACCGCGCTGGTGACCTCGGGTAAGCGCGGGAAACGCGGGTAATCGCGGGTAAGTGGGGATGACGCGGGTAAGCGCGGGTGACGCGGGTGAAGCAGGGAAGGGGATGGGGGGAAGCAGGGAAGGGGATGGGGGGAAGCAGGGAAGGGGATCGGGGGAAGCAGGGAAGGGGATGGGGGGAAGCAGGGATGGGGATGGGGGGAAGCAGGGAAGGGGATGGGGGGAAGCAGGGAAGGGGATGGGGGGAAGCAGGGAAGGGGATGGGGGGAAGCAGGGAAGGGGATCGGGGGAAGCAGGGAAGGGGATGGGGGGAAGCAGGGAAGGGGATGGGGGGAAGCAGGGAAGGGGATGGGGGGAAGCAGGGAAGGGGATGAGGGGAAGCAGGGAAGGGGAGAGGGGGAAGCAGGGAAGGGGATCGGGGGAAGCAGGGATGGGGATGGGGGGAAGCAGGGAAGGGGATGGGGGGAAGCAGGGAAGGGGATGAGGGGAAACAGGTATAGGGTGTGGAGAACCAGGTCAGAGGATGGGGGAAACAGGGCAAGGGATACGGGGAAACAGGGGATAGGATGGGGGGAACGGGGGCAGATGCGCGCGGGCACACGGGCGGTGCGCGCGCGGGCGACAAGGAGAAGCGCGCGCGGGCGACGAGGAGAAGCGCTGGACGGTGGGAAGCGCGGGCGACGAAAGGAAGTGAGGGCGACGAGTGGTAGATAATGTGACTCGAGCAAGTGTGGGCGACGAGATGAAGCGCGGGTGTCGCTTTTCCGCGAGTCTCACGAGGGTAACGCGCACTCGACATCCTACAGACATTGAGGGTGGCAACTCATGCCATTTTCGCTCGCATTGCGCGTGTGGGGCACTAGCACGGACGTACCGTGTCTGGCATTCGAAAGAGGCACGGTAAGTGCGGCTGCAGCAGGAAGTTGTGCTACTCAGCGATTGGACAGAGAGCGTGAGGGACTAGTGTTGTCCGGATAAAAACGCCTACCCTTGAGCTAGCTTTTATCGCCCTGCCGCCCGTTTCCTAGTTACGTGAGTAATAGTGGACTAGAAGTACTACTTGGTCTTCAAGATATGTGAGAGGTGTTCCAGGCAATATTGTGGGCGATGGACGGATCTGTCGTGCGACTGGTCACTGAAACCAATCAGGAGTGAGGGTCGCAACAGGTTTTCCCTGAGTCGCGAGTCGTTTTTCAAACCAAAGAGTGTTACCCTGTTTTTTGCGACTTCAAGTTCAAGAATCTTGGCCAGCTGCAGGCCCACCAAATTCTGCTGTACAAGTTTTGATTGATCGAGTTATACCGGTATAGCCTGTTTGTACCTGGTTGGCCAGACCTGGTACACAGAGTCTGAAATTTTGACAAGTTATTCTAAACCGATATATGAAACCCTTGAAGCCACAACCATGGCCCACTGAGTGGAACGCACATGGATGGATTGTTCATGGCCCATTGTACCAGTGTGGCAGTTTCACAAGGCAAGAACTGTGAATGCAATCTAAAGAGCACAAATGTCGAGACTAAAAGCATAAGCACATCACGATACGATCCGTCCATCCATGTTCTAGTCGACTCAAGAAACATTCATTTCTTTTTTTTTTGTTCGCTCTCCATCCCATGCTCCTCATGATGCCGGCTTCCAGTCGCATGTGAGCACATGAGCTTTGACCCACTACCCCCTCACTCCACCCTCATCCACCCCCTTAGTGCGGCCACAGCTTCGATCCCCTGATGCCGCGCTTCCAGTCGCCCCCCACTGCCTCCATTATGTCGTCTGACTCCCTCCACGTGAACTCCAGCTGTTGTGACAGGGGGAGGGGAGAAGAGAGAGAGAAGAGGAGAAGAGTGAGAGAAGAGGAGAAGAGAGAGGGTTTGAAAAGGGGAGCTCAGCCAAGTACCCAGCGCTTGTAGTCGCCCCCCACTGCCTCCATTACGTCGTCTGAGTCCCTCCAAGTAAACTCCAGCTGGGATGGGAGAAGAGGGGTGAGAGGAAGCAGAGAGGGTTCAACAACGAGCACTAGCGCACCGGAGAGCACTGAGTGCGTCCCATCCCAGTCAAGAGCCAGGAAGAACCCACCTGCCCAATGACCACCGTGTCCCTCACACGCCCACCCCACGCTCTCCCAGCGCCCACCCCAGGTTGTTGCAACAGTTACCACAGTTACCGCAGTGACAAGCCAACTACAAACGAGCCCCGTGAACCCACCTGTCCAATGACCACCGTGTCGCCCTCTCGCACGCCCCGTGCCCTCAGAGCGTTGTTGATGCCACTCGCCTCTAACACACAACCAAAGCGGCTCATTGCCTCACCACACTCCATGAGCTATCCACCTACAACCAACCCACCTGCCCAATGACCACCGTGTCCCCTTCTCGCACGCCCCGCGCCCTCAACGCCTCGTTGATGCCACTCGCATCCAACACATGGGCGAATCGCCTCACTGCCTCAAAGTACCTGCAGGAGAGAGTAAAGGGGTTGAAAAGGGTGGAAGGGAGTGAAGAGGTTCATTATCAGTGCCTCGTTGATGCCACTCGCATCCAACACATGGGCGAATCGCCGCACCGCCTCGAAGTACCTGCAGCAGGGAACAGGGGGTGGTGGTGGTGGAGGGTGGTGGAGGGAAGTGTGGGGATAGAGGGAGACGCAGCAGGAATGGTGACTGACAAGCAGCTTCTGAGAGCTCTCACAATGATTTTGCCCAATCCCCACTTCACCCCCCACCCTCTCGCTCACTCTCCCCAATCCCCACCCTCCCGAATCTCTGCTCCCCCTCCCCATCCTCCCCCCCCCCTTCCTCCCCCACTCACTCCCAGTTGGTCATCTGCACAAATCGTTCAATGCCCTCCCCCATGGCTTCAAACACACACGTGTGTGACGCCTTCACACGTCGCTCACTCCCAACCGCTGCCCCTGCTCCCCGTTCTACACCTTCCCACCACCCCTCAAACCCCCCCCCCCCCCCCCCACCCCCACCACACTCACTCCCAGTTGGTCATCTGCACGAATCGCTCAATCCCCTCCCCCGTCACTTCAAGCACACATATGTGGTGCTTCAACCGTCACTCACTCCTCTTCCCACCACCCATCCGGCCCATCCCCTGCTCATCCTCCCTATCCTCGCCCACTCCCCCCCTCCCCCTCCAAACTCACTCCCAGTTGGTCATCTGCACAAATCGCTCAATCCCCTCCCCCGTCACTTCAAACACACGCGTGTGGCCGTCGAATGCCACCCGGAACTCGTTCACTGCTGCCCGCCTCGCTCGCTGCACCTCTGCTGCTAAGCCCAGGCGCTGGCGCGTGGTGTTGGGAGCTGGGACAGATGGGAGGAGAGAGGGAAAGGAGCAATGGGAAAATAGACGGGGAAGAGAGAGGGACATCGGAACTCGTTAACTGCGGCGCTCCTTGCTCTCTGCGCCTCTGCTGCTAGCCCCAGGCGCTGGCGAGAGGTGTCGGGGGCTGGGAGGGGGGGTGCGGGGGATGGAAGCAGACAGGGGCACACGAGACGGACAGGGGAGAGAGAAAGGGGAAGAGAGAGGGAGGAGCATCGGGAACTCGTTAACTGCGGCGCTCCTTGCTCTCTGCACCTCTGCTGCTAGCCCCAGGCGCTGGCGAGCTGTGTTGGGGGCTGGGACAGATACGAGGAGAGAGGGAAAGGAGCAATGGGAAAATAGACGGATCGTTCACTGCTGCCCGCCTCGCTCGCTGCACCTCTGCTGCTAGCCCCAGGCGCTGGCGCGTGGTGTTGGGGGCTGGGAGGGGCGTTGATAGCGGACAGGCAACAGACAGGGGAGAGAGAGGGCGGAAGAGAGGGAGGAGCATCGGAACTCGTTCACTGCCGCCCCCCCAATGCTCTCTGCACCTCTGCTGCTAAGCCCAGGCGCTGGAGAGTGGTGTTAGGGGCTGGAAGGAGGATGAGATGAAAGAGGGGGAAGGAAAGATGGGGAAGATAGACGGGGAGGAGAGAGGAGACGGAGGGGAGAGCATCGAAACTTCTTCACTACTGCCTGCCCAAATTGTTCCACCTCGGTTCCTAAAGACAGGAGCTGCGGAGTGATGCTTGGAGCGACGTGAAATAGGCAGGGCGCATGACCTCTTAGTACACTGCATGCTCGAAACACCGCCAACCCCCCTCCCCCTTTTCCTTACCTTCTTCCTCGCCCTCGTCTCCCCATCCGTCGCTCTCCCCCTGCACACTCTTGAGCAGCCCATACGCAGCTCGCACCACCTCCTGTGTCCCCTGCCCCGTCACAGCACTCATGCTCAGCACCACTGGACCCTTCACCCCCTCCCCTTCCCCTTCCCCCTCCCCCTCCGCCCCTCCCCACCACGTCCCGTCCTCCTCCCCCTCCCCTCCCAGCCCCAGCTCCCGCACGGCTTCCTGGAAGCTTCCCCACTGGTGCTGCGCGTCTGGCAGGTCCATCTTATTGAAGACGATCACCCGCGGCTTGGAAGCGAGGGAGGGCGAGAAGAGGGCGAGCTCGCGCGTCACTGCTTGCAGCTCGAGGTACGGCTGGGGGCTGCTGCCGTCAATGACATGGATCTGGAACAAACGGGGAGGGTGGAGGGGAGGGAGACCACTATATTATTAAAGGCAATGACACGCGGCTTGGCAGCGAGGGAGGGCGAGAAGAGGGCGAGTTCCCTGGTGACTGCTTGGAGCTCCAAGTATGGCTGGGGACTGCTGCCGTCAATGACATGGATCTGAGATGGCAGGGGGGAAAAGGGGAGGAGAGTGGATGGGAGAGAGAATGAGAGAATGCAGGGGAGGGGTGCTGTGCGTCTGGCAGGAACACCTTATTGGACACAATGACCCAGGGCATGGCAGCGAGGGAAGGAGAGAAGAGGGCGACTGTGGGAGAAGAGGTGAGTGCTTGGAGCTCCAGGTACGGCTGGGGGCTGCTGTGCTGCCGTCCACCACCACAACACTGCAAGCATCCTGCCTACCACTGCCACTCTCACCTGCGCTGTGCCACCTGCGCTGTGCCACCTGCGCTGTGCCACCTGCGCTGTGCCACCTGCGCTGTGCCACCAGCACTCTGCAACGATCTGTGTGCCTCAGAAACTGGTGCCCCAGCCCTCGCCCCACGTGCGCCCCCTCCAGCAGCCCAGGCACGTCCGCCCACACCATGCTGTGGAAGCCCTACAGCCCGGCACTGCCCCTGTGTGTCCCATGCACCACTCACCACCACTGCCAGCCCAACACTGCCATATGTGCAACTCACCAGCACGCGGCAACGATCCGTGTGCCTTAAGAATTGGTGCCCCAGCCCTCGCCCCACGTGCGCCCCCTCCAGCAGCCCAGGCACGTCCGCCCACACCATGCTGTCAAAGCCCCCTGGCACTGCCACCACCCCCAGGTTGGGGACCAGCGTGGTGAATGGGTAGTTCGCCACCTGGGGGCGGGGATGAAGAGGGAGGAGGAGAGACAAGTGAAAAGCAAGAGGTGAGATGGGAGGGAAAGGGGTGCGCAGCCCTCCAGCAGCCCAGGCACGTCCGCCCACACCATGCTGTCAAAGCCCCCTGGCACTGCCACCACTCCCAGGTTGGGGACAAGAGTGGTGAATGGGTAGTTCGCCACCTGTGGGTGGGGGGAGGAGATGGAAGGAACATGCACGCAATGAAAGAGGGGTGGAGGATGGGAGTAAAGAAGATTGACATAGGCCAAGAGATGAGGCAGGAAGAGCACAAGTGAACTTCGGGACGAGCCACCTGGGGGCAAGCTAGAGCCCAAGACAGCCAGGCACACAGGAGGTCGAGAATTACCTTGGGGCGTGCAGCAGAGATAGCGGCGAGCAGCGTTGACTTGCCCGCGTTGGGTGCGCCCACTATACCCACATCAGCCACCACTCTCAACTCCAGCTGCACCCACCTGGTTAGTCATAATGGGGGGAGAGAGGGAGGGGGTATAGGTGGTGTGAGGAAGTGTAACCATCCAGAGCATTTGGTGCTCCCACAATGCCCACGTCTGCCACCACTCGCAGCTCCAGCTGCACCCACCTGGTGAAAGAGGGGAGGATGCGGGAAAAGGGGGAGAGAGGAATTTTGAGACGCCTCAAAAGTGCACCCACCTGGGGAGAGACGGGAAGGGTGGAAAGGGGGAAGAGGAGGAGGGGGGGCTGTGGGGTCGGGGGGCTTGCACTGTGTCAACCAAAACTAGTGTTGGGCGCTCCCACAAGGCCCGCATCTGCCACCACTCGCAGCTCCGTGCACCTACTGACGCGTGGGTGCGTGCGTTCATATCGGTAAGGAGGGAGTGGGGGAGGGAGTGGGGGAGCAGAGAGATACAAGCAAAGCACGCACTCAAGGCGACTTGGGCTTTCGGTCATCGTCCCCTCCCCCATCCCCTTACCCCCTACCCCTATCTTCCCTCTCCCCCCTGTCCCTCACACCCCCTTGTATTCCCACCCCCTCCCTACCCTCCTCCCCTGTTCCCCCCACAACACTCACATTTCGGGCCCCTCCTCCCCTTCTCCGCGATCTGGGGGGCGTTGGTGCGCCCAGTCTTGAACGCTGAATTGCCCCGCCTTCCCCGCCCCCCCGTCCCCCCCCAACCCCCTGTTTCCCCAGAGGCACTCACATTTCTGGACCCTCCTCCCCCTTCTCCGCGATCTGGGGGGCGTTGGTGCGCCCAGTCTTGAACGCCGCGTTCCCCCGCCCGCCCCTTCCCCCCGCCAGCAGCACCTCGCTCTGCCCCACGCGCACCAGCTCCAGCAGCGCGCGCCCCTCCCCCTCCCCTTCCCCCCCCTGCACCCCATCCGCCTCCCCCTCCCCTTCCGCCCACTCCTCTCCACCGTTCTTCACCCCCCAATCCCGCACAGGCCCCCTCCCCACCACCTCGCGGACAATAGTCCCCGGAGGGACTTTAATCTCTATGTCCCGACCCGCCTCGCCATGCCTATTACTCCCCTTCCCGTGCGCCCCGCGCGTCGCCCTGAAATGCACCGACCGGCGGAACGGCAGGAGGGAATTCAGCGCCGGGTCGGCAGTAATGATTACGTTGCCGCCCCGCCCGCCGTTGCCGCCCGACGGGCCGCCGTCCGGGACGAATTTCTCCCGGCGGAACGCCACTATTCCGTCGCCGCCGTCGCCGGCCTTAATGAAAACCCTCGCCGTGTCGAAGCATCGCATCACTGCTTGTAACCCTCTTCGCTCCGCGTCTGATGCTGGTGATGATGATGATGCGTCGTTGCCCTCCCATTCCTCCTCGTCCTTCCCTTCCAGCCACCGCATCTCCTCGCGCAGCCGCTTCTGCTCTTTCCTCCTCAAATGCGACAAATCGTCCTCGTTCTCTTCCTTCTCCTCCTCTTCGTCTTCCTCGTCCTCTCCCTCCACTATTTCGTCGCTAACAGATCCCGAGTTGCGCTCGTCTCTCACACTCACTGCTTCCGCCTTTCTTTCTCCAATCCGTCCTGAGGGTTCAGACGCAAAACCCCGGGGTTCAAGGTTTTCCTGTTCCCTAATCCCTTCAATCGCTGCCTGCGCCCTCTCCCGCGCCTTGGCTTCCGCCAGCTCCCTCTCCATATCCGCCAGCTGCCGTCTCAGCGCCGCAATCTCCCCCTCCATGTCCACCACCGCTCCCCCCGCCTCTTCCCCCGCGCCCTTATCCGCCTCCGCCCCTTCCTCACGCGCCGCTTCCCCAGCGCCCATCTCCCGCCCCGCCTCCGCGCCGATCTCCCCGTCTTCCTGCAGCCAATCGCCGTCCACCATGCGCCCCGCCGCGGGCGCGACTCCCGCCAATTTCTCCGCCTCCAGTTCCGCGATTTCCCGCTCCGCCTCTAGAAGCAGCTCCCGCTCCTCCTCCTCCGTCATCGGGGGTAAATCACCCTCCCACAACTCTACCCTCACATCTTCCTCCTCTCCCTCTTCTTCCTCCTCCCAATCCTCATCCCACTCCTCTTCCTCTTCCTCTTCCTCTCCCTCTTCCTCTTCCTCTTCCTCATCCTGTCCTCGCTCTCTAGCCACGTCAGCAGCGGGCTTGCCTGCGACTATCCCTGCCTTATCCTCCTCTCTAACGACTGGTGCAGCTTCAAGGACAGCGGTTGATGCGGCGACTGCCGCGGCGACAGAAGCGGTACCCGCATTTTCAAGCTCTTGCTTGTTGTCAGCACGTAAACCCCTTGTTGCTCTGCTTCTTGTCGCCACGTCAGACCCTTCCGCGTCCACGTCATCCTCACGGCGACCTAAAGAAGCTACAGTTGTGCCACTCGCCCACGAAAAATCCGGCTCCGACGCCGCTGACGTGGCATCCCATGACTCGCCATTCGTCCGAGAAACGCGTTTCTCAGTCCTTTTCGGCTGCTTGGTCCGCGTTGCTGAATTCTTTCTCGCTTTAGACGTCTTCGCTGTCACGTTAAGAGCTCTATGCCTGCCGCAGCACTGCTCACCTCTGCTCGTTACAAATCGTCCCGTTAGCGCTGTAGGTAGCGACGGCAGGAACAAAGGACCAGAATTCCGGGAACTTAAAGACGAATCCAGAACCACGAGGCGCGTAGTATGCGGAACAGCAACGAGTTGCCGGCACAGCGCCATGGCTCACGCTTTTCCAGTGACGATGATAACAATGGACAAAAGGTCTAACAAAACTTCCAAATCTTCCTAAAGAGAGGCGTCAGACGAGGGATGCTCTAGGATTATGACAGACTGATGGCTTGGGTGGGATGTTCATGCAATAGCTAACAAATATTTGTCTCGAGATTGCCATGAAGGATGACGGTGCGCTTTTGAAAAAGGCAAGCGTTCCGACGTGGAGCTGATGTGGCTGCGCAAGTGTCGTCCAGGAATCTCGTTCTGTGACTACAATTGATATAATAGACAGAACTACAAAAAGATATGAACATGTTAATATTTTATACCACTTCCCTTCCTACAATGTTTCTTCCATGTCATTTACAATATTCTGGGGTACTGTTCCTAGTCTATCCTTGGGAAAGAAACACATAGTGTCACTCGCATTCTTGCACTGAAATATGTACGCTTGATCATAGTGGAACGACCTGCAAGAACAGAGCAGGATGACAAGATAAGTGAACGTGCAAGCGTTCAATGTACCCTTGCTGGGTGCTCCATAAAAAGGTTCAAACATGCAGAGAAATTATTACCCAGCCAACGTACTCACCCTTCCTTTCCTGTGAACACAGGGTCATAGTTGTATGTCAGATAACGGTACAACTCGCGCCTCGACCGTGGCTTGTGGCTGGACTTGCGGGCCTCACTAATGGATTCACAACGGCAGGGGAGATTGGAATAAGGGGTTTATGTGAGCGGCCTGGGCATTGCACCGCAATGGGCGGAGAGCCACACGATTAGGATGTGGTTTCTTGTGAGTGTGTGTGGGATATTGTGGAGCATTCCATGCATGCATTTGCAACAAGCATCCGACAGGGTGGCAGAAATACTAGGAAAAGATGTGACATGGGGCAGATGAGGGGCAGGAAAAGGCAGTGTAAGGGACAGGAGAGAGGTAAAGGAGGGGCAGAAAAGGGGCGAGAACATCAGAAGAAGCAGGAGAGATGCAGCGAGGCTCACCTGGCAAAGAAGGTGCCGGCTGCATGAGTGATCTGCACAGCATCGGAGGAGTGCGGGAAGATGGGGTTGCCCCACTCGTACGCATTCTTCTGCAGATCCAATAAGAAACGAAGTGGGTTGGGGCGGAAGGGGTGCAGGGACATGCGCTTGTTGTGATTGTGTGCGCATGCATGGACATGTAGTGATGTTGTAAAGCAAGGGACAGAAAAGCCAGCAATACGCTCAGGGGCTGCGATCAGGTGCGTGCGCAGTAGGGGGTGCATGATCTCGGCGAATTACCTCAGGGTGCCACTGCAGTGCAGTGAAGGGATATCGCTTGGCCTCCACCGTTGATATGTACTCCTGGTGTTGGAATCGCATGTGATGGGAGTGGATGGGAGCACGGTGGATTTAGCTAAGACCTGGAATAGCGGATGGTGGTGAATGGGAAGTGAAGGCGTATAGCTTGGCCTGCACAATGAAAGGGTACAACGGATGTCACAGTCGTAGATGGGAGGATGGGAGCACAGTGGTAGGACAATGTAGGGTGGTGAATGGAGAGTGCAGGCATCGCTTGGCCTCCACTGTGGATAGGAATATCGGCTGTCACATTTGTAGATGAGATAGGAATATCGGCTGTCACATTTGTAGATGAGAGGAGGGGAGCACGGTGAAAGCATAGAACGGGGGAGGATGGTGACTGGAGCATGACGGACAGGGCATTGTTGATAGGGAGGGCACGGGGGGCATGGAGATGAACATATCTCCCCTTGTGTTACCATGTGACAGTAACGAGGGGGAGATGGGAGCACAGGAAAATTCACGTTCACGCGCACCTTGCCATCTTCATCAGCAGTGGTGGTGAGGATGTTGAAGAAGGACGCGAGACCCTCACCACCCATGACACCTTGGCCTACCTTCAGTGGCCCATACGACATGGTGCCAACCCCCCAACCACTGTCATCACCAGCACCACCACCAGCACCATCACCATCACCACACGCACCTTGCCATCCTCATCAGCAGTGGTGGTTAGGATGTTGAAGAAGGACGAGAGACCCTCATCGGCGTTGAATGTCTCGGGAGTCAACCCATACTGCCACGTGCACGTGGGGCACATGAGGGTCAACTCAAACAACATATCAGCGTTGGCAGCCTGGCAGTCTAGCCAAGATCAGCACTCCTCGCCTCGCATGTGGACTTTTCAAAAGCTACGGAGTCGACTCAAAAGAAACTGGAGCTGCATGCAGCATACCTTGTTGAACCACAGGAAACAACTAATGCCATCTTTCAGTACCAGGTTTTTAAAAAACCCTCTCCCATAAACCTTGGATTGTCCGTTGGCAAATTGTCGAGGCACAGAAACATACCTTGTGATTCTCCATTGTCAGATTTTCTTTCTCCAGCCGATCCACCAGTCTTCGGCGCATCCTGTAACGCGAACAGAAGGCGTGATGATGAGAGTCCATGGCAAACGAATGAAAATAGTGTTTGCTGCAGCTCCATGGGAATCTGATGAACAGCTAATATGCATACTTATCCAGACATGCAAGTATACGCCTCTAACATGCAAATGAACAACCCACCATCAGGCAAGCAACCCACCATGCGAACATGTTTCTGTCCTTGGCCCATTCTCCCACGAATTGCAGCGTGCTGGGCCGCTTGGCGTTGGTAGGCTCCAACACCTTGCGACCTCCCTGCACCACATTGGACCCATTGAAACAACCCGCATTGCAGCTTATGTATTTAAGTGACATGCATTGTGTTGATGTAACATCTAACGCACATGACACATGCACTATGTTGGCATAACATGGATTGTGCATGACGTAACATGCGTTGTGTATGGCGGAACGGAGGACAAGGCAACAGAGGTGGGACATGGCGGCGGTTTCAAGTGCTAGCGCGTAATTTTGGACGACCCTGTGTAAAAAGGGGTAATGACCAAGATCACCCACCGTGCTGAGAATGATGGTGAGCATCTCGAAGCTGAGGCACTCGGCATAAATAGGGAAATAGTCGCCATTGTCGTTAAATGACATGGCCATCTGCAGGGAGGCACGGATGCACGCAGCACACACAAATTCACACACAGAATACGAAAGGCATGGGAATTAGGAATTCGAGCATCGACAGGACTTGCATCTTGGTCCGTTTGGATCCAATAAAACCTAAAAAACATACGCCCCCTCGTGCGTGGTATGGCATGCCATCCCACACCCTGCCATACTAATTCAGACGAACCCATCCAAACCCACGCCAAACATCCCATCCAACGCCACTTTATCCCATCCATTCCCAAGCTATCCCATCCCATCCTTGCCTCCAGCTCGCCCGGTTTCCAAGCCCACCTTCAGTAAACGCCGCACGGTCCGGAGGAACCTTCCTCGTTTATTCGCGTCGCCTCCCGGCAGCACCAGCCCGTTCACCAGCCGGAGCTTCTTCAAAATCTGGCGGCGCGGCTCGTTGTAAATAATTGGCACGACTCTAGCGCCTCCGGCCTCAATGAATTTCACATAAGACGCTGCGATATAAGACAAGTTGGCGAAATGGTTCTCCTCCGTCGCGTTGAATACCCGTGCAATCTCGCCGCTGTCCGCAATTCCGGGCTGCGAGAGAACGCCGATCAACGGCTGATATGTCACGGGTTCCGCATCGCCGTTGAACAGATCGCTGGGTGGCCGATTATCCCGACCGTTGCTCTGAGGACCTTCGGAAAGAGGAACCTTAGAAAGAGGAGCTTCGGAACGACGACGCTCATTGTTCCTAGTGTCTGTCCTTCGAGTACCAGCACTGCTGTCTACATCGTCATCGAAAGCCTTCTGTCGATAAGCGGCTGTCATTGGTGCTCTGGCATTGTGATGCTGACTATTTGAAAGACGACTTTTCGGAGGTTGGTTATCCTCATTGCTTCTGTCTCGATTTCTCGGCTTTGTCTGCCAGGAATCATGGTCATGGGAATAAGCAGGATGGACTGCTGCTGGGAATACGATAAGCACACAGGCTACTAAAAGCACTGTCTTGCGAGCTTTCCAGGCCATGTATATAAACTGTTTGCATAAGCTGCAGCTGGGCTTGCTTCGTAATTCTTTCTCACAAAATATCTAACACACAAAGACTCGGCTAGAGCACTATGTAGCAACCTAGAGCAATGTCGACAAGAGCTTGACTTTGTCGCACTGACGAGTCGAACCTAGTCCCGAGCAAGTCACACTTGCTTATTCGTAACCAGCAACCTAGGCAATCGAAGAACAAGGTGCTGATTTTCTGACCGTTGGAGTTGTGGTGGCCTCTTCATAAGCGTTGGGGTTCTCGAGGCACAGGGAAATGGCGAGTGGGGTGAAAAATGCGGTCCCACAGGTGTCTCGAGGTTCCGCTCTCCTGCCTACGCGCTTGGGGAGGGGAGGGCGGGGAGGGATACCGAGGGGTACTTTACGAGAAGAAGGCATGGCGGGAATTGGCGCAGAGACTCAACAGCTCCCATCCCATCCCTTCCAGGCACAATGGAACCAGCGCCGGACCTCTCAACGAGGCTTGAGAGAACCGGATCGAGACTGGATTGGCTGATAATATGGCGGCGCAGCACCGTACCATCCGAATTCCGCCAAGTTCCGCAAGTGTTCATAAAGGAGCTCAAATTCGCGCGAAGTCCCTGGCCCCACCTGGCGCGTGACTGTGCTTCCTCCGTTTCTTCTCCGCGAGTACAGCTGTAACCACCTGTTGGTCGCCACGTCATTATCTCCTCGTTCAGGATTGGTCTTTCTTCCCACGTGACATCAACTTTGTGGAACAAACTCCCAACGTGCGATCCCGGATTGTAAGTAATCGATACAAGCGGTCTCCTCACCGCATTGACATCAGTGGTAGGAGTATGTTATTCAAATGACAATAATTCTCTAGGCCACGAGAGACCAGAGATGGGGGATGAATGGCAGGAAGTGATATGGGGGATGGAAAGGGATACAAGAGATGTAAGATTATAGACAAGAAGGGAGGGAGAGGTAGGAGAACGGCTTACTACCTGGCAGGGCGAATAGTAATGGGGCTGAAACCGGGGCGAATGGTAATGGGGCTGAAACCGCCCCCTAGTGGGGTGAATGGTGTTACGATATGAAATTACATGAGTAAGGCATTCCTGTATGCTGCGGGAGCCGACTCTACCGAGTACGAAGTCGAGGAGTCAGAAGAGTCGAAGCGACGCAGCAACCGTCTGACCAAGACCGATGCAGGCAGAAACATTTGAAGTGAAAAGAGCGGGAACAGGTTTGAAACGGGTTCCCGTGCCGCACGGTTTGAATTTCGCTGCAATAAGGGAATGTATCCCTTAGAGTACATGGCTAGTCTAGGTCTTTTCGTATTCCCCTGTATTCTTATATAAACCCGATGTATGCATGTCTTTATCAACTCAGTCATTTACATTCACTCTGACCTGAGATTCAAACTTCCGCTGCAACACTACTCTGCGATCAACCCTGAGCGATCCTTCACTAAGTCCCACTTGGGATTGTAACATGGTATGAGAGCTACTCAGGGATTCTTCGCATAATCAATACCTTGAAATTCGCCGAACCAAGATCTGGCGAGCGGCACACGCTCCAAGACCAAGATGGCCGGAGGATCCGGAGGCCAAACAAATCTGACGGCTGAAGGACAAACCAACCCGGCTGCGACAAATGAGGCGACAACTACGATCGGCACTGCCGCACTCGAGCAGTTATTCGCTCGACTTTCAACCATGGAGAAAGAACTCCAAGATTTGTGCAAAGGCGATGCGGGAACCTCTTCCCATCCAGCTCAACCTCGACAACCGGCAACGAAAAGCCGTGATACCGCCGCGCACACCTTCTCCCTCGACACAGACAAATCAACAACAACTGCCCCCCGTCCAAGTGATGAAGTTATTAACTCTGCGCAAGCACGCTTCCTCAGCGTTTCAAAAATCAAGACTACCGCCGCCTTCGACGGCAAGGATTTCTATACATGGAGTTTTGAGCTTGAGCTCCTCCTACAGACAGCGCAGATCTACCATTACTTCGACGGCTCCTATTCTAAACCGGTGGACGACACTGACGACGCCAGGGCTCAGTACTACAGCGAGTCCCTCATGGCGTATAGCGTGCTGCTACGCAACATGACGCCTACAGAGCAACTAAGCATCTTCTCCTATAAAGAGAGTGCCGCTCCAGCCTTGGAAGCCTGGAAGCACCTCGTTGAGGTTTATCAACCGACGGACTCGGTTACAGCCAGCAGGCTCCTGCAGCAACTCATGGAGACAAAGATGGGGCACGGGGAGAAAGCGAACTCTTATATTAACCGCTGTCGCAACATCCGTGACCAGATCACGAAGCATGGGAGCACAATCTCGGAAGAGATCTTCGTCAACATAGTCCTTCAAGGACTCGGGCCAGAGTGGAAGCCCTGCAAAGCGCTACTCCGACAGCGAGGAATCATCTCTGAAGCCACGCTATGCGCCGCACTCCTGACTGAACAGCAGGACATGGATTCGAGCAGAACAAGCTCAGCGCCGCGCCGAGAGCGCCTCGCCTTCTACGCTGACAACCGTGAAGAGCGACGACAACCAAGGCGCCACTACTGCAAAATATGCAAGGTCTTCGGACATTCAACGGATCGATGCAAGTCCCGATCCAACTATCGCCACCCAAATTCCACTCACCACAACAACTGGGTCGGCCGACAAGATGCTCGTCACTCTCAGTCTCAGCATCATACACCTCGTCCTCCTGCACAACATCAACATCAGCAAACTCAAGGACCTCAATTAGGAGCTCCTAGAAACATCATCGCAAATATGACGACGCGCCGACGTCGCACTGCTGAACCTGACGAGGAAAATGAGATTCAAGGGAGACTCCTTGAACCAGAAGAGGGTTGGAATAATCCCCTCACTGAAGATCACTATTACCGGTATGACGAAGACGAGCAGGATTGGAACCTACCAATCACCTTGCGGGAAAGCCCGCCGCATGACAATCAACACTACGTACCGGTGGGATGGAAGGAGGATGAAGACCCTCTCTTCCATAGTCGCTACAAGGCAACCTTGGTGACCCCGCGACTGGCGCTACTTCTGCGCAGAAACAACACTGACAACCACAACACCTGGTACCTGGACAGCTGCTGCGGACAGCACATGGTGGGATCCACGCGATACGTCTCGAACCCGAGCCGCGCTCCCCCAACTTACGTCACCGTCGCCAACAACGAGCAGCTGCGCGCCAATGCGCAAGGCATCGTGGTCCTGCAAGCACGAGACAGCAACACACACATTTCGTTCAACGACGTACTCTACGTCCCGAATCTTCGGTTTAATCTTCTCTCGGCAGGACAACTTCGCGACTGTGGCGTCATCCTCACCACAGACATCGCCACACGTGACCTCATTCTCACCTACGCTCCCCCGGATACACCTCCCGAGTCATTCAAGTATCTCGGACGAGCCCGCTCGATCAACGGAATCTACGTCCTAGACTTCGACGTACCTTCCTGCCAAGCTTCATCCGACGAGCTCGTAGACCTCGTTCCCCTCGAGTTCGCCTACACAAGCAAGTGGGAGCACCCAGACGGACGACCATGGGTTCGCCGCAGCCCTCATCCCCGCGAGATCAATCTGCACGAGCCAGACATTAATGGACTCTGCACCACCTGCCACACACCCACGGCGAGCCACACAGACCAAGTCGAAAAGGAATACGCGGCAATTCAGGAAGCAGAGAGTGCCGAGGCAGAACCTACGGGGATGACACAAGACGAGCTTGCCGTGATAACTCATCGCATCTTCGGCGAACCAAACGACAACTTCGGGCAACCGCGTGTCGAACGACCGACACCATATGCAGAGACGCTCCGGTTTATTTTACGAGCTAACACCGGCACCTACGACGAGGAGGGACGCCCACGACCCTACCCTCGCGAAGTCTACCGCACGGAGATTGACACAGCCTGGAAGGATCCGGACGCAACAGAGGAGTTACGCGTCAAGGAAGAAGAAGACAAGGCACGGGCGGAAAAGAAACAGAAACTATTTGAGAAACGCGTCGCGGCTGGATGGGACGAGGAGTCCGCACGACGAGGCGCATGGGGAGACGAGGATTACGAACCAGAAGAAGGCGCAACCTGGGTATCCGCCACTGGAGCATGGGGAGCCAGCGCCAGCGGCACGTTCACCCAAGGAGGATGGGGTAACACCAGCGAATGGGGAGGAAACGAATACGTGGACGCTCCAATCACCAAAGAAGAAGAAGAAGAGATGGAACGCGAGATGCAAGCTGAGCGTGGAGAACCATCCCCTCGTGTCGTTATTCCACTGGGTCGGCCCCCACGCACCCGCTCACCTCCCTCCTCCCCCTATCGGTGGCGTGATCGTTGGTCGGAGATTGAGGAGGGGAATGTACCACCAACTTCTCCGCGGGACTCACTTGGTCCAATCTCCCGCCCAGATCCTTTCGCTCGCCTCATTGAAGGCACCACGACTCCGCTCACTATCATCCCCGATCGCGACTTTCTCGCCCTCTATCTCACAACGGCACCTACAGAAGGGGAGACAACGGCAGAAGCAGAAGCAGAGGAGCCGGACAACGAAACGGAACCAGGAGAAGGGAAAGAACCCCCACTTCAGATCCCGCAAGACACGGAAGCAGAAGCAGCATAATACTACGCTCGCTACAAGCGTACCTCCGGCATTCGCGCCGAAGATGATCTCTGGCACCAGCGGCTGGGACACCCCTCGCGCCAGACACTCGCCAACTGCCTCCGCGCCAAAGTCTTTCCGCCAGGAGCATTGCTGCGCCCCGACGGAACAGAACCACACAACACTCATCATCCA